CCCCGCCGGCCCGCGCCCCGCCCCCCTCGCTCGGCGGACGTCAGGGGCGTGGCCCGCTCTGAGCGCCGAGGCTTTGGAGCCTGCGCAGTCGTGGGATGCCGGGCCGCAGCCGCGTGACCCCTGCGGACCACTTTACCCACGTGAGCCTCGGGTTCCTGCGCCTCTGCAGCGGATTGTGGTTGGGTGGGCGCCGCGTGGAGCAAGTTAGCACGCTTGGAAAGCTTGTATTTCGAAGGAAGCTTCCGGGTTGGGGGTGGAGGACCGAGCGCTGCCCAGAAACCTGTGTGGCCTCCGCAAGGTCGTGAGCCACCATTCCTGCTTTCTTTTACTGCTTCCGTCTTTTCGATTCAGGTCCTTCGGTTCAGATGTTCATGTCGCGCCCTACCCTAGATCTTTCTGCCCTCCTAAACTGAAACCGACTTTTCTGCACTCCTAACCCATGTCAACTGGGAAGTACGTGGTTTGGGCGGAAGGAAGGAAGCTCTTCCAATAAATAGCCTTCCTCGGAATATCAAATGCCATACTACCTGGGGCCCTTTCAAAACGGGCGAGGCTGTAAAGCGTAGGTCAGAGGCAGTGTTCCCGGAGGGAGAATGTCCAAAACACTTCTACCGAGCCTTGTTAGTACCGTCCTTTATGAAAAAAAGCCAGAGTATTCATTTGATCAACCATGTACTGACTGCAGTAGCGGGCGGTTTTTGTTACATTCTGAGCTTCGATCAAATGCTAAATGAACGTGCCCAAAACCTTCAGACTGAACCAAGAGGCTATCCCATCGCTTAAGAAATGGGGAAACTGAGTCTGTAGGTTATGATACACGCCTCCCCCCAACTTTCCGCTGGAATTGGAAATTCCAGGAATGGAAACACTTTGTCTTGATCCCTATTTTATTTCCATCTCCTAGTACAGTGCCTGGCACATATTTGGAGCTAATTAATATTTACTGAGTAAATGAATAAGTGGTAAACGAGTTCCCAAGTTTTCTCAGACAGTTGAGAAGCCAGAATTACTATCCAGGTCTCGACCCTAGTCAGGGCTTTTAATTTGCATGGTCGGTATGTGTGGCCGGATCGCAGGTCACTCCATCCTGTGAGGTAAATTCACTCAGGAGAAGGTAGACGATGTCTAACCCTACTTTCAATTCCTGATGACTACCCCATTGGGAGCTTGTAGCCCCCGTGGCTAACTAGAAAAGGGAAATTACTTAGATTTCATTCCTGATTTGCTAGATATCTGTTGCTCTGCGCATGAAGCCCTTCACACTGAACTCAGCCCTTAGCCTTGCAGTAGCTGGTGTTCTGAAACAAGACAAGGCTGTTGACAACAAGACAATCCATAAGTAATGTTTACTGAGTACCCATTGTGTGCCTAGCAGAGCTAGCACAACAGAGTCCTGGAGAGAGATAAAGAAAATATTAAAATTTAAATCCTAAAGCAAGAATGGGTTTTTACATGTTGGGCTGTACAGAAGGGGAAAAAAATAACACTAGGTACACAGAAGACAGGCTATCAAGTTAGGAACTGATAAAGTTATGAGGATACAGAACTTTAATATACATGAGGGCGTTTTCCCCCTTTTAGTTTGTGTGGGGCAGTGGATAGTGCAAGACGGCGTATTCACCATGGGAATCAGTGTCCCGATCTAAATCCGGAGAGTCTTCCTGGAGGAGGTGATACTTCAGGAAACCTTCAAAGCAGGAATGATTGCCAGCCTTGGAAACGGGAGGCTGTTTTCCGTTCTTGGAGGCTAAGGGAAGGCAAGGCCTTGCAAGTTATAGCAAAGAAATTATGGTGGGAAAGAGAGGAAGGCAAATTTGATTTCTTGAGAAATCTCTAATACCCCACCTGAAAATCATCGCTTTTCAGATGTGAAAGGTTTAATTATACATATTTGTTGGTATCTACTATGTTTCAGGAAACATATGAGGAACCGAGAAGACGGCAATGAACAAGATGCCCCGGTCCCTGCCCTAAGCTTGAAGGAACAGATTATGATAGGATTAGGCTTCTGGAGCTAAACTTTGAACCATAGGTTCTCAGAGCAAGTTTGTTCTGTTCTACCTTATTTGCATCTGAATATTGTAAGCTGATTCACTGAAGTTTTACAAGGGCCTAGGGAATCTTGCAAGATGGAAATTATTTCAGAATGCATCATGTTTTAGCAAAGCATGATTTTAAAAAAAAGTGCAATCAGCAAAGCAATGATAGAGAATCAAGCCAAGGTCCTTAGCCTCAAGCAGCTTCTGTTATAATAGGAAAGATAAACTCAAGAACAACTTGGAGGGGAAAAATGAGTTCACATAATGTCTATAATTATGTAGTTAAAATCAATATACATGGTGAATTGCTACACAGTAGAAAGATTGAGTACTAAGGTCCAGGGTTTGATCCTTGTACTGGCCAGCTGCCAAAAAACTTTTTTAAAAAGGTTGAAGAGCTTTAAGTATTCAAGGGGTGAGTTATGTTATTCTGGTTTACATGACTATTCTCCCTGCCTCAGCTGTAAGCTCCAGGAGAAGGGTCCAAAATTTAGCATAGAATAACTATTAAACTTTTTTGCTATAAACTATACATTAAAACTATGAGAAGACCATAAATGTTGTGATTTTTTTTTAAATGTGCAAGGAAGCTGAACCCTCTGTTGAAATAAACCTTAAATATATCCAATTAATCTGAAAAAAGAAAAAAAAGAATTCTTAATGATTCTGTTCTGGAAAATCATCTGTCCAGCATATTTTGGTGCTATGCAGAAAATTAGCGGAAATTTAGTAGTATTGGATTCTAAACCAAAATTGCTTAGCTATTGAATGGGCTAGAAAACCAGTGCAAGGAAGCTGAACCCTCTGTTGAAATAAACCTTAAATATATCCAATTAATCTGAAAAAAGAAAAAAAAGAATTCTTAATGATTCTGTTCTGGAAAATCATCTGTCCAGCATATTTTGGTGCTATGCAGAAAATTAGCAGAAATTTAGTAGTATTGGATTCTAAACCAAAATTGCTTAGCTATTGAATGGGCTAGAAAACCAGGAAATGTCAGCAACTATCAATGAAAGCATAGCAACAGAGAACCAACAGGTTAAAATAAAACAAAACAAAGGACAAGGTATTAACCAATGAGTGTTTATTGAGCACTAGCTATGCTACCACTTACAGAAAATTTATATACAGAAAATATCTTTTTTGTTTTGTTTTTGGCAGCTGGCTGGTATAGGAAATCAAACCCTGTACCTTTGTTGTTATCAGAACTATACTCTCACCAACTGAGCAACCTGCTGGCCCTAGTTACAGAAAATTTAGAAACAGATTCTGTCATGCAGCCCAGGCAGCAGAAACCCAGCTACCAAGGTCATCTTTATAAAATACGACCAATCCTGGTTTGGTTTTTTTTATTTCTATTTTTTGGGGGCAGCTGGCCAGTATGGGGACCCGAATCTGTGATCTGTGTGTATAAGGCTACACTCTAAACAACTGAACTAACGGGCCAGCCCCCTGGCATCTTTTTAAAAGGTGCATACAGGGCCGGCCCGGTGGCGCACTGCTATAGTGCGCCGCTTGGGAAGCACGGTGGCGCTCCCGCCGAGGGTTCGGATCCCACATACAGACCGGCCGCTCACTGGCTGAGCGAGGGGCGGGAGCAACACCGAGGGTTGCGATCCCGTGGCCGGTCCCGGGCCGGTATGGGCGCGACACTGAGGGTTGCGATCCGTTGCCGGTCACGAAAAAAGACAAAAAAAAGGAAAAAAAAAAAAAAAGGTGCATACACCTAAATACCACCATCTTTTAGCAATATTTCTTTAAATATAACAAAATTCCCAACCTCTTATCCTCCCCCCCATTCATGAAAGCTTTAAAAAACTCAAACTTTCATCCATCTATTCATTCACTAATCATTTTTTATAAACCTATATTTTTATAAAACTATGAAAAACAATCTTGAAAAAGAACAAAGTTGGAGGACTCATGCTTACCAATTTCAAAACTTACTACAAAGCTATAGTCATCAAGACTGGGTGCTTCTGGCTTGAAGATAATCATATAGATAGTGGAATAGTATTGAGAGTCCAGAAATAAATCCATCCATTTATGGTCAACTGACTTGACAGCATGCTAGGACAATTCAATGGGGGAAACAAGCCTTTTGACAAATGGTGCTAGGACAATTGGATATCTACTTGCCACAAAATGAAGTTGGACCCCCTACCTTACAACATACACAAAAATTAATTCAAAATATCAAAAACCTAAATGTAAGAGCTAAAACTATAACACTCTTAGAGGAAATAATCGGTGTAAATCTTTGTGACCATGGGTTAGGCAGTGCTTTCTTAGGTACGACAGCAAAAACATAAACTACAAAAAAAATAGATAAATTGGAATTCACCATAATTAAAAACTTGTGTGCTTCAAAGGGCATCATAAAAAAGGTGAAAAGACAATCTGAAAAATGAAAAAATATATTTATAAATCATATATCTAATAAGGGACTTGTATCCAGAATATATAAAGAAGTTTTATTACTCAACAATAAATAGAAAAAAACCCAATTTTTAAATGAATAATTTGAATAGACTTTTTTTCCAAAGAAGATAGACATACATCCACATGAAAGATGTTCAGCATCATTAGTGATTAGGGAAATGCAAATCAAAATTATGGTGAGATATACTTCACACTCACTAGGATGGCTATAATAGGGACAGACAATAGCAAGTGTTAGCAAGAATGTGGAGAAATTAGAATCCTCACACATTGCTTGTGGGATTGCAACAATCACTTTGGAAAATAGTTTGGCAGTTCCTCAAAAGTTTACACTTTTGAGTTACCATATGACCCAGCAATTCTACTCCTAGGTATATAACCAAGAGGAACGAAAACATGTTCACATAAAAACTTGTATATCAATGTTCATAGTAGCATTATTCATACCATTCAAAAAATGGAAGCAACCCAAGTTTTCATCAGCTGATGAACAGATAAACCAAATGTGGTATATTCATATAATGGTTATTCAGCCATAAACAGAAGGAAGTACTGTACGTGCTACAACATGGATGAACCCTGAAAACATGCTAAGTGAAAGAAACCAGATACAAAGGGCTACGTATTGTGTAATTCCATTTATATAAAATGTCCAGAATGGGTAGATTCAGAGGTAGAAAATAGTGGTTGCCAGGGTCTGGGGTGAGGAGGCAGTGCTGAGTGACTATCAATAGGTGTGGGTTTCGGGCTAGCCCGGTGGCGCACTGGATAGTGCGCCGCTTGGGAAGCGCGGCGGCGCTCCAACCCGAGGGTTCGGATCCCACATGCAGAC